GGGTTTCTTGCGGCGGTGGCGGTTTGTGGGAGGAGGGAGCTGGCTGAGGTTGATGGAGGGAGGATGAGACTGGTTGGGGTTGGATTGAGAGGTTTGGTGCTCGGGTTGGTTTATGGGTTTGATTTTGTTTGGAGGAGGCGGTGGATCTTGAAGTTTCCTATCATTCAGGTGAAAATTGTTTGATGGTTTCTTTTTATGCATATTAATTAAGTGTTGGATGGAACTCGTTAGTTAAGTAATTGAGCTAGGCGGTGATTGTACTAGGGATATAGAATGGAGTAGGCACTCGTTGAATGTCTTTTTTTTTTTTTACTCTGTAGGGTTTATGGTGCTATGCCGATGCGCAGCGGTATCAAAACATTTAGTATATTAGTTAGGGGTTGATATCGGCGTGGTGTGTTAGGAAATGAGCCTTAAGCATTTGTGAATCATTGCGTTTTAAAAGCCTGGATTTTGAAGCGTTTGTAGGGTGTACGGTGAAAATTTGTTGTTGGGTTTGTTCTTTTTTGTGTCTAATAGATGTTTGATGAATTGTGCAAGTGAGAATTGTCATGTTTATGCTCATGATATCAAACGAGAAATAGTTATTTTAGTATTTTAGTGTTTATGGTATTATGTTGATGTAGAACAAGTCAAGACATAGTGTTGGAATGGTTATAACGCAGGTAGAACAAAAGATTGTTAGTTTGATGATAAATGATTGTGCGTGAATGCTTTGATATAACAGCATGTGGTTGAATGCTTTGGCATAACATTTTCTTTTTTTTTCTTTTTTTTGTGTGTATATATTCTGTGATCTTGTAAAAATTAGATGGTAATGAAGTAACCTATGGCTGGAAGTAGAAAAGAAAAGGAGAATGTAGATTGAAAGAAAATGGATGTGGTAGCTGATAGCTTGACTGCTAGCTGATGCTCCCTAAATGTTAACTCAACGATGAGGTCTTCAAAATTTCTATGTTGTAGTATGTTGCGGGTATTTTATCGTAGTGCTTGTTTATGTTCCGGGTAATTTATTGTAGTGCTTGTTTTGTTTTCTTTGGCCAACTATTCTGATGACTTTTTGCTTCTATTTACTTTTTCAGCGACCTCTGTTCTACAGCTTTAAAAGGGGGCTTCCTTTATCTGTCAGGCAAGCGCTGAAGCTATCAACTGTGGCGTTCATCTTTTCAACTGTACTTGCAACATTTCTGCCAGATCAATGTAAGAGGAAGAGCACAGTCTGGCAATTTGTTGTTCAGCTTTTCTATCTTTACATTGGGACATCAGCAATCTCTTTTTGCTGGGAACTAAGTCATCACTTACTTCAGGTTGGTTCTTCACAACCTCAACAAAGTGGTTTCTTCACAACTTCAGTGTACTGTTTAACCCATCTGGGCAATACACATCTTCTATTTACTATTTCATGCAACATTATACAACTCGTGTCAATTTAACTGCAATCAAGCTTTACTTTCTTTTGTTTCATCTCACGTAAACCCATGCGATCATGTTGTAGGTTGTGCACACAAGGAGGTTTTCTTTTGCGCCAGCACAGGGATCTGCTGCAGCAGAAACAAATCCAACTGAAATGCTCCTTGAAGCCCTGGAGCAAAGCAATCCAAGATCTCTCATGCAGTATCTAGCATATCTTGATTTATGTATGGTTAGTGAGAGTAACGTTGAACCATGGCGTAGAGCTGCCTTTTTTGAGGAAACTGGTGAAACTTACAGGAGAATTGTATCTGTATGTTTGAGGCCTCTAGAACAGTTAACGTCAAAGCTTGGGGAAGGTCTGGAAGGTACTTCTGGGGATAAGTCAGAATCATTAGCTCAGCAGTTGAATTCCCCTACTGATACTCATTTGGATTTAAAACTCCATGAAGCTCTTGATGACTTTCAGGTACTATCCTTGGTTTGTCATGGAATAGTCCAATTTTATTGGGAATTTATTTTAATTATTCACTTTTTGTACCTGTGCAAGCAATAGATGGAGAGAACCGACATGATTCTTCAGTTTGAATAGGAATTTTAATGTTATTGATTTTTATTTATATACTACGCATAGTCTAAAAAGACCCGAATTAGCTAGAGCATCAATACCAACACCCAATAGCATGCACATTATTTAAGCCTATCAATGTCATTTCACCTTACCTTAAACTCTTTGGTCTATGATACGTTCATAAGTAGGTTCATCATCGCTTTTGCGATGCGTCCAGATGTAGATGAATTACTAACAAGAATCAAACTGCTTGAAGGTTTCTGGATTGTTATAGGAACAAGGTCGCGAATAAAACAATTAAAAATTTGGGATGCTGGTCTCTGTGATATGGTGCAATAGTGTCCAGACCTGCTGGTCATAATTCTGTGATACTTTCCTGATGGCATGTTTTTATTAAAAGCAGAATATATTTCTTTTTGATATGCTAATATTTATCTTCATGAATTGGATGGTAGATGGTTGAACTTATTATGTTTCATCAATTTTAGTGGATCTTTCTTTTTGAAAGACTGCTAGCCATAATTCTGTGATACTTTCCTGATGGCATGTCTTTATTAAAAGCAGAATATATTTCTTTTTGATATGCTAATATTTATCTTCATGAATTGGATGGTAGATGGTTGAACTTATTATGTTTCATCAATTTTAGTGGATCTTTCTTTTTGGAAGACAAAACAAGATTTGATGGTTCATTATAATCATAATAATAACCTGCTTTTGTCATAATTCGTGCAACTATACTAATATCTTACTTGACAGTAGAAAATGTGATTTGTACTCATCTATGTTTCTGCACCGCTATCTAAAAATGCACATTTACATACTACTTTTCATTAAGGGGCTATTTGGTTGCCTGCAGTTTGCAAAAAGGGACAACCTTTTTGCAAAAACGAATTTCAAGCAACAATCCCAGTTGCAACTACACTTGAAAAAAGTTTGCAATCACAGGGTAATAAACAGAGCAGTTGCCATTGCAGCAAACCAAACAGCCTCTATACGCCTACCTAGTTTATACATGTATACAGGCATGCAGGCCTCCAGTCATCATAATATACATGCCAGGAAGCGGCAAAAACGATTAACTTCTTGATTACCTTCAAAATTAGGTATTCTTAACCTAGAATATACTATGAAATGCAACAAACAATCTCAACTTTGTTTTACCTTAGTGGGTTTCATTGGATCTACCTAAGGGCAAATGGATCATTGTAACAACTATACAAAAGTGTAGAGATTCTGAGCAACATGTCAAATGCTTTCATAGAAGCGGGGAAATTTTTCTTTTTTTTAATCATTTTGACACCTATAAATTTAAGGCTAACACAGCATTCTACCCACAGGTATGCACATGGAGTTCAAGGACATTGGCAGCACTAACTGCTCGTTCCCACCAAGAAGATAGATATGGAGTTGCTCAACTCACAGGTTGCAACACTGAAGTGGTCTCAACTTTACTCTCTACTGTGATAGCAGTCGAAGCTTGCTTAGGCAAAAAGACCAGCCCACAACCTGCACAGTTGATAGGTCCCGCAAGCATCAGATGGGCTACTACAAGCGCAGGAAGAAGAGACGGGCTTTCTATTGCTTTGCCTAAAAAGAGAGGAGGTGTGATTTATGATAAAGCTTTTGCAATGGCAGATGTCCTTAGAACTTCAATCTATCAGATAATATCAGCATTTGAAGTTGATATGCAAGCAAATGCTAAAGCCTTTGTCTTGGACAAAAATTGGGTCAAGGATGGCAAGCCTCTCTACGGCACTCGGGATATCCTTGTACAAAAGTTGATGCTTTTCTTGGGATTCAATGCCAACTGAAATTTTGGTTACGTTCATTTTGTTCCCCTCTTGAGAAGTAGCTGGGGGAGGAGAAGAATTGTTGTTGTTTGAGTTTTGTATTAATGGTTTTTCTCAAGGAATTTCAGGAGTTGGAGCTTTGTTTTATTACCTGAACTCCGTACGAGAAATCCATCGAAGAGGAATTTTTTTTTTTGGTGGGGGTGTTTTTGTTATTATGAAGTTAATTGGGTGGAGCTTTGAAGTTGCTATCAATGCGTGTAACGATCCCCCACACTACAAGCAGCTTGTATTATTGCAATGTTACATTATTCAAGCTTCAGTTGTAAGTTTCAACATATCTGATTGAAAAGTAAAGGCCACTTGGATTATGTGCACAGTCGTCGTATTTTTTTTTATAAACCGCCCTCCGTTAGGAAGAATGAACCGTGTATCAACCTGCTGATAAGATTTATGTGCGCTACTGAGTACTGCGGTCACCTGGTTACTCTTCCAATCCTGTATTGATGTGCAACTTATAGCGTAGTAACGTGATCAACATCGTTCCGTTCCTCCGATCGTTGGATACTGAAAATAGCTCTATTTAGCAGCAAAATATTTGTACTTGAATTATATGTGTATGTGCAGTGAAATAGGAACGCTAGGGTTATATGTTTATTTTACAAAATATAGCTATAATTACAGTGACAATTTTTGTGAAGGGTATAGAACACTCGCAAAGAGTAGGCATCCAAATACGTCTACAAGCGAACGATTTCATCCTGGGTGTTTGCTAATTATTATGAAAGATTCAAGAAAAAGTGTGTTTATTTCAATCACCTGACCAAAAAGCCAAACTTATCTAGTTGATTTTTTTGTTCAGGATAGGCGTTAAATGGTGGCAGTATTAATTACAAAAAGTCTTTGAGGTGATACCATGATAGGATGAGCAAAAATCTTATCTTTGCTGTCATATCTGACTAATACCATGATAGCTCTGTTTAACAAACTATTTGCGCAACCCTGATAAAAAGCTCATACCAGTCACCTATAACTCTATAAGCCACATCATTGGTGCTTAATAGTTAATATATTTTATGAATGTTTTGAGAAAATGATTTCTTGTCAACATGATAATACGTTTCAAGTCTATCTAAAAGATTTTCGACGCATAAAACATCTTACTTGCACCTTTTGAATTTCCTTTTTTTTTTTTGATAATTTCCTCATAGTCTACTGAATTCACCAAGCAATAGGCAACCAGAGGGGCCAAAGCTCAACAGAAGGCAGGTGAAATACATCAGAATTTTTATCCTCTTACTTGTGGACATAACCTTTAGCTTTATTACATCTCTAAAAAATTAGACAATTTCATTCAGATTTGAATCCTTTTTATTGAAAGAAAATTGCTCCTCCTAGTAACTGCCATCTATTATTTATCGTACTGTCGGTTTATTTCAAATCTATCAATCATTGTTAGAATATAAACAAATAACCATCAACACTTACCATCATAACTTTGAGGTTTTGGTGCACTAGATGAGAGCTTTACATGCATCAAAGTCAGCCCACGTGAGATTATAAAACTATAACTCTCAACCCTTGCTTTGGAGTTTTGGTATATTGATTGGGACTTCTACAATTATCATATCATGTGTTTCACAATCGCAAGTTAAACCTCGTCAATAATTGTTCCTAAATACATGATAACTTAGCAAGAATATAATAGTAAACATAAGTGAATAAAAGAATATAATTCATATAACATAATATGGCAAGTTAACCTCGTCAATAATTGTTCCTACATACACGATAACTTAGCAAGAATACAATAGTGAACATAAGTGAATAACAGAATATAATTCATATAACATAGTAACCTAATAAGAACATAATAAGAAACATAATTGAATGAAAGAATACGATTCAGGTAGCTGATTCAGAAATTTTGGAATAAACATTTTGTTGTTAGTGCATTGTTCATTACAAATATACCACCATCATAACTCCATAATACATTAAATGATATAATGATATACAATTGTGTTCTAGAAATTAAAGCCTTCCCTGGCTGTGAAGAGGAGGATCCAAATAGGAAGCAAAAGCATTCGCCAGAGAACATTTATGCTTTCTACTGATAAAAGCAATAAGCAATCTGTAAAAAGCTCTATTCTAAAGGCTAATTACTAAAACTACTATCATCAATAAGGTAATCTAATTCACAAAATTTGTCATCTTAACTATGATACCTCCATTTAACAAACTATATCGTATCTATTTATTGGTTACAAATGACTCCACTTTGCCTCCCTTGAAAGCTAACCTTAGCATGTATCAAAACTGTTGATGCCATCAGTTAATTAGGAGAATAATAATGAATTCGGAGGAGTTCGGAATTCATTTATCTCCGTTGGTGACTGACTATGACCGCATACAAATATTCCTGCATACAATAACAATGTTAGAGGACCGGAGTTAGGTTCTTCGATGAGCCCTTTGACGCTCAAGTCAGTTACTGATTTGATAGTGTAAAAAATATTGAATTTAGCTTGAGAGTATTCTCTAGTCAAGATTGTTCATACCTTCATGCAGAAGAAACCATCCATATTTATAGGAATTTGTGGGGGACTATTTGGTAATGTGATCGGGTCGGTGCAGGCGGCTGATCAGATGGTGCTTTACACGTATCAATCGTAGAGTGGACGAGTCATCCTCGCGTTTAATGCAACAGCGAAAGGGAGGTTGAAGTGATGGTATCGTCCAAGGAGTCATTATGATTCTAGCTGGAAAGTCATAATGACCCTGACCATGTATTAAATGTGATGGTGACTAGGCTACATAGCTAAGCATCATGAAGCTGATACGTCAATTCGTCTGTCGAGACATTCCACAATGAAATCGAGGGAAAGACGTTTTTAATTCCTTGAACAGATCTCGATCTAGAGGCGTTTTTCTTCTTGGATCCAGATCGAGAGACCGACCTGAAAAGTCACGGATCTTTCTCTAAAAACAGGTTGGCTATGTGCACCACACATGACACATGCTGTTAAAGAGGGGTTCATTATACTTAGTATGTAACCTTCAGGGTTCAACAAGAACCCAACGAAGAATGAGGACAATGATAGAGAGAAAGAGGGAAGGAAAATAAAAGGACAACAATAAAGGGAAAAGGAAAAAAAAGGACAACATTTCTCCCCATTCTTCTATCTATACCTACTCTACATCATTTACATAAAATATCCTTTAGCAACTCCAAACACTAGACTTTAATCATGTCACCAAATCATCACAAACCCCCAAAACATACAAACTCTAGGAACTTGCTCATCATGTGCTTCTTCCATTGACATCTGAAGTGATATATATAAAGGGTTACAACCTAACTAAGAAGCTAATGATTAATTTACATTAGATACAAGATGGGATCAATTCTCTATCCAATTGTCTCTAAAAGGGTTTGGCCAGATGGACTCCCTGATCTCTGCGGGGGGAAAGGAGGCTTTACAAAACTACTACTGGAGCGCCTCTTCATGTTGCCTAGGGAAGAGAAAGACCCCTTTGAGCTCTTCTTTGATATTGAATTCTTTGGGGAGAGAGATCTATCGAGGCCCCATCCGTAGCTCTTTGATGACTTGAGTTGCCTCTTCTTGAATGATCTCTCTGGCTTGATTAGATCCTCTAAGCTCTTCACATTGCATAGGGATGTGAAGGATTGTGATTTGCCTTCAAAATGCTTTGATAGCCCTCTCCTACAAAACCCAAGTGAAAAATATTGTTTAATATAGCATAGGTCGGTTAAGTATCGAAGTGTCTGAACAAAGTGCGAGAGAATTGAGATGCATATTGCATGTGTCTGATTGTGGAAGCCTTCGCTACTAGCGGTCTAGCCTAAGAGGATGAGAATGAAAACTTTTGATCAAGTGATGTTATGTTTCTTACTTTGTCACTCCACTCAAAAAAAGAAAGTGGGGAAGTTTGTGCAACCTCACTAATCTAAATAAATTAATATTTGAGAAAATACAAAGAGATATAGTGGAATTAGTATGCTTTCTTATTCTCAAAACAAGAGGGTATTAATTAAGAAGAATACAATCTTATTAAACAAGCTCCAATCTTGTTAAATTTCTTGGTTTCTATCTCTCTCTCTCTCTCTTAAATCTCTCTCTCTCTCTCTACACACTCAAAAAAAGAAAAGTAGAGAAAGTAAGAATGTTTGCCCGAGTCCACTGCTATAGCTGTATAGACGTTGAGAAAAATAGCAAGGAATATTTTAGAATTTATATAGCGTGTTATATGCCAAAAAAATATTGTTAATTTAGCCATAAATCATGTTGTATTTCAATCCCCTCTCTCTCTCTCTCTGTCTCACAAAAGAAAAAAGTAGTAGGAAAGTTTGACCAAATTCACTAATCTAATTACAATCTTAAGAGAGAAAAAATAATAATAAATATTGCAGAGTTTAATTAGTATGTTATCTTCCTAATCTCAAGGTAGATCACACAAGATGACCCAAAATTGAAAAGAACAAAACTTGTTTTAATTTGTGGATCGAGTACTGCAACTAGAATTTGCCACTCACTTGAAAGGCAGCTGCGATACTAGAGAAGACATCTCAAATAGAGGCCCATTCGATGACGAAGAGCCCGATGAAGAAGCAGCATCCTCAGTGAACTCCACGGACGATGAGGACCCAACCGAGTCAACCGACCCCTCATCATCATCATCATCATCATCATCATCAGAGAAAGAGCTCAAAGACCCAATATCATCGTCCTGCTCATCGCCAACATGATGCCCATCAAGACCATGGTCGACGCGGCCATCACTACCCATGATCCCATGCTTGCTTAACAGCGGAACGAACGCTTTCTCCATCTCTAAAATTTCCAAGAACCATGCGCTTCAAAAAGGGCAAATATAAGCGTGATGATAGATGATAAGTATTGAGTATCGGAGTGTGGGGTTATAATAAGAGAGGAGGAGTAAAGGGGGGGTGAGGATAAGGATGGGGTATCAGCGGTACGTACGTTTGAACTTTGAATATGGAATATGAGCTATTTATATAATAATAATAAATGTGATGATAATTAGTTTATCAAAAATAATATTAAATAGATTCGGAGTTATCCACTAGTGACTCTTTCTCCTCCTTGACTCCTTGTCCCCCTCTTTAGTACTGGGGAACTGAGACCAGTGGATAAGGCTTCCACATCCTCCCCACATCCTCTCTGCCCTTGTTCCTATTAATTACTAAAGAGGGATGTAACGTTGCCATCCTCGGGGATGTATTTTTTATATCAAGTTGGTATAGTTTTTATATCAAATTATTATTTTATTTTTAACCCATTACATTAAATTTTACACCAAATAGGAAATATGATGGATGAAATGGGATATGGTTGGGATATTTGATTTGTTATAACCAATTTTAAGGGCAAGCTGAAAAAGAGCAAAAAAACCTCATATCTAGCAGCGCCCCAAAATAGCGCAGGTTTTGACGCTAGGTTGGAGATAGTTTTGATGTTCTTTTGGCGTCAAAATGACTTTTTAAAATAACGTTGGAGATGCTCTTTAAGAGACGGTTCATTTCAACGCCCGCTACACTTGCAAAATGTGTTTCATATTCAAATTTCTCAGTTTCAAATTTAATTATCAACTTAAAAATTAATTTGGATCGATATAAATTGATTCTTCACACAATAATTTGGACCCCCCATGATTACTCGTTCAAACCGAAGTTAGGTCAATATGTGAATGACGGATCGATGACGCTAAAAGCTATTCAGAATTATGATAACGATGTAATTAATCCGACGGGTGGCCGAAGACCCTACAAATATTGGTAGATATGTTGATACCTCATGGTTTCTGATTTAAGACCAAGCCAGCAGAGGACTTGTGATTTCCATGTGTTGAGCTGTACTAACAAAGGGGAGATCATTTGAAATTTCACATGCAAATAAAGTTTCATACCTATTCCTCTATAACAATGGGAGGATCTAAGATGTACTATTCATACTACAATAATACTATAGTAAATTATTGTTGTAGCATTATTATTGTAGTATCATACTGTAGCTCCGACGGGGATACTGTAGCACTTACTAAAACTGTGTTTAAATACAGAATTACTGTAACGAAAAGAAAAAAAGAAAAAAATAGAGGTCGTGTTCTGCACGGGGTGCACACTAGTGTATAATAAATAACAAAGAGTAATTGATAGAACGAGAAAGTTGGGGCGAATTGCTAGTAGTTTAAACTTTTGATAAATTTGATTTTTAGCATTTATTTATGACCCATTAAATCTGATTGTCTTGATTTCATGATGTTATGGACTTAACTGAGTTTCATTACATATTTTCATTATATCTTGGTATTCTAGTGACCGTTGTGATTAAATTATAAAGACAATCGCTTTAAGCACTATGCGCGTAGGGGGGTTTAGTCACCTAGAACTTTTTAAGTAGAACTGGGATAATTGGTAAAGTGGGATAATTTTTTAACACTGGGATAATTTAGTGGAATAATGATGGGTAATTCTTAAAGTGGGATAATTTGGTAGGATAATTTGGTGGGATAATGATGAATAATATTATGAAGTTGCATAATTTGGTAGGATAATTTGGTGGAGGTAATGGTGGGTATAAATTACTATTGTTAATAATTGTGTATTAAAAATAATATAATATTGATAAGTAAATTCTAGTGATAACTATAAAATATAATGCAATAAAGCATCACTATTCATCTCAAATAATAAAATAATTTATAAATAAATAAAAATCTAAATTCCTAGAGTGACTCGACTTCCATCATCCCACATGGCTTCTATCATCCCACATGGTATCTGCCATAGAATTTCTCCAAACTCCTACAGCTGTTCGTTGAGTCTGTAACTCGTCTTCTTTATCGAAGTCATCGTCTGCATCAGCAACATTTCGTGGAGCTTCTAGTGGAGGATCATAAATGTCGAAGTTCAAATCTCATAACATCATAAAGAAAGAAAAATAAGCATTTTTCAGCCATTAACCCTTTGGACCAATCTCATCATGATCGCTGAAACCAAATCAGCAAATAAATGAAATGTACACAGGAATCATCCGTGGCCGCTAAACAGATGATCGACAGATGAACTATAAATATCCCAATCAATTTACTGAGCCGATTTAATAATAATAGATATCACCATTAACCATTCAACATCTAATCATCAATGTGATCGCAAAGTTGCTTTCTAACTTATAAAAAAAACATAAATAGCCCGCATATCTTTAGCACTAACCCACCAACACTATATTCTTAACCTAAACCACTGTTGTGGAGAGAAAACTTAGATCAAACAAATAATAATAAAGTAATTTAACGTCAAAAAGCTATCAATAAAGTAATACATCTTGAAGATAATAAAAGATCTAATCATCACAAAAACAAAGTAAAGACAGAAAAATGAACGGATGATTGACTTCATGGCAGAGAAATTTTCTAGGCGGAGAAACTAACCAAGAGGGAGGGAGGCGGCGTTTCACTTTTTTTCCCAATTGTATTCTTTCTCAAATAATAAAATAATTTATAAATAAATAAAAATCTAAATTCCTAGAGTGACTCGACTTCCATCATCCCACATGGCTTCTATCATCCCACATGGTATCTGCCATAGAATTTCTCCAAACTCCTACAGCTGTTCGTTGAGTCTGTAACTCGTCTTCTTTATCGAAGTCATCGTCTGCATCAGCAACATTTCGTGGAGCTTCTAGTGGAGGATCATAAATGTCGAAGTTCAAATCTCATAACATCATAAAGAAAGAAAAATAAGCATTTTTCAGCCATTAACCCTTTGGACCAATCTCATCATGATCGCTGAAACCAAATCAGCAAATAAATGAAATGTACACAGGAATCATCCATGGCTGCTAAACAGATGATCGACAGATGAACTATAAATATCCCAATCAATTTACTGAGCCGATTTAATAATAATAGATATCACCATTAACCATTCAATATCTAATCATCAATGTGATCGTAAAGTTGCTTTCTAACTTATAAAAAACATAAATAGCCCGCATATCTTTAGCACTAACCCACCAACACTATAGTCTTAACATAAACCACTGTTGTGGAGAGAAAACTTAGATCAAACAAATAATAATAAAATAATTTAAACGTCAAAAAACTATCAATAAAGTAATACATCTTGGAGATAATAATAAAAGATCTAATCATCACAAAAACAAAGTAAAAACAGAAAAATGAACGGATGATTGACTTCATGGCAGAGAAATTTTAACCAAGAGGGAGGGAGGCGACGTTTCACTTTTTTTCCCAATTGTATTCTTTCCAATGTGTGGGATAATTTGAGAGAGGAGAACTTATGGTTATATATATAGGTAGTATAATTTGTGGGATAATTATGACCAATTATCCCAATTCTAATTCTAGTAAAATTCTACTTGACTAACACACCAAAAAAATAATACAGTTCTAGTTCTACAAAAGTTCTTCTTGACTAACACTATAAAAAAATATCCAATTTCCTAGTTCTATGTGACTAACACCTTAAAAATTTATCCCACAAATTATCCCAGTTCCAGTTTTAAGTTCTAGATGACTAACCCCCCCGTAGAGAAAAAGCTTGAACTAGAGCGGTACAAAATTAAATTAGACGCAAAGCGGGTGTGAAGCTAATTTTCCATTGCTATAATGGGTAATAGGTTCGACCTTGGTCAGGTTTTTTCAGTTGGGCCCTTCTCTTTTTGCCTTATAATTAAGTTTATGACGGAGGCAAGAGAAAAGAAATGGATGTCCTCATAATTTAATAATTGAAATTTGGAAAAACTGCTTCAAGACCCCAAAAATGCAAACCTGATGTGTCTCAGCCCCCTGAACTTTTTCTAATGTGCATTAGCCGCAAAAATAAAAATTCCAGGTGATTCAGCCCCTTTTACAATTTCCATGACATTAAATCCCCAAACTATCATCTTATTCTTCTCCACATCTTCTCCAAATCTGCTCCTTCTCTTTCAACAAACTCATTTCCTCTTCCACCCTCTCTCTAACCTCGCTAGGAACCTCCAACACCGCGCACACCTTCGCCGCCTCCGCCTCCCCTCGACCTTCGTCGACTCCATCCCTTGTCGTAGCCCCCGCCGCCACCATCTACCTCGTCGACTTCACCCTCTGTCGTAGGCCATCTTCTCCTGCAGCGCCACCAACGTCGCTAGCCCCACCACCGCCACGTCGCCGATGTCGTATGCTAGGACCTTTAAGTAGGATCTCATTGAGGTTGGTTTTGGTCGTGGGCCTTTGGTTTTGGTTGTGGGTGCTTGGATTTTGATTGTGGGTGCTTGGGCCTTTGGTTTTCGCGTTCAAGTTTGGATTTTGATGGAGTTCTCTTTATGGGGTTGGGTTTAATTTTGTTGATGAGCATCATCATGCCCGTGGCCACGGAGAATAGGATGGCTAATGAGATGTTGAGGGTGTCGACGGTTGATGGAGGAGAGGAGGAGCTTGTTCCAGTCATTCATTTGCTTGCCGATGATGGAGTGCATCTTCGCCCGTTCTCAGCGACATCGACGATGAAGACGCCTCCCCGGTCCCCATCACCATCTCCTCGTCCTCCTCAGATGAATAACAACAACGAATATACAACCTCCTCTCCCAACTCGACGAAGAGCGCCGCGCTCGCCAAGAATCCGACGATGCCCTAAAACGCAACGACGACGCCGTACGAGACAAAGACCAGACCAATTTCCAAGCTAACTAATTATCATACTAACTAATTAATTTTGCATATATGTGAACTATAACCGGAATGTGATATAAAAATGATGTACAAATAAGCAGGAGCGGTGTTTATCATGCTAACTAACTAATTTTCAACGGTGCCATTTAAGGGAATATGTAACATGTTATCCATATCACGTAACATGTTAACGATAATAGTTAACATATTAACTATTATATTTAACATGTTAACTATTAATGTTAACATGTTAATTATTATCGTTAACATGTTAACTATTATATATAAACTGATA